CCAGTCTGGGGACATAGCAAGACTCCGTCTCAAAAAAACAAAAAACAAAAAACAGAAACAAAAAAAACCCACCTTACAGATATGTTGCTCATTAACAAAAAATGTGATCAAAATGTCTTTGTTAAATAGATACAGGATATATCTTTTTCCTCATGGATAAAGAAAACACTCATCAAGCAGTTGAGTGAATTGTGGGAGCATGTCATTGTGGCGAACTTACTGCCTCTTGGGATTCTGGACTGAGGGTTTCTCTTCTATGCTACCTGTGTCTTTGAGAGGCAGTACTAAATCTTGATTAAGATGATACATTAGATTCTTTTGGTCTGGGTTCAAATTCCACTGTCCCACTCTGTCACTGTGTGACCCTGGCCAAGCCTCTGAACATTTTGATGCCTTGGTCTCAGCTGTAAAATGGGGATCATAATAGTACCTGGCTGTAGAGTCGGTAGGAGGAATACATGAGCAGGCCTGGCACGTGGCTACTCTTAGAATTATTGTAAACATTAATTTTTTGTCTTAGAGCTGTGCTCTAAAAGCCATGGCTGTCCAATATGGTAGCCAGTAGCCAAATACAGCTGTTGAACACTTCAAATGTGACAAGTCTAAATTAAAATGTGCTTTTAAGTACAGAATACACATCAGATTTCAAAGACTTAATATAGTAACAAGAATGTAGAATATCTCATTAATTCATATGGATTTCATGTTGAAATAATTTTTTAATATATTGGGTTACATAAAGTACATTATTAAAATTTACATTATATGTGTGGTTCATATTATCTCCCTATTAGTCTGTGCTTATTCAGATAAAAGTGTTAACATAGCCTATGACAATTAAAGAAGAAACATGAACTCTTTCATCTGAATCATGAAATAAAGCCATGAATACTGGTAAATGCTCTGTGAAAAAGGGTTTAAGAAAACGTACTTTATTTGACAAGCTACCCAAGAATGCCGTTCTAGTCTGTCTTACAGTGTTGTTTTGTAAATCCAGTTAATTTAATATTTAACTTTTTACTAATTATTTTATTCTCTTTTAGTGACAAGTTCACTAGATTTTGTCAGTGGAAAAACGTTGAATTAAATATCCATGTGAGTATCACTCTTTTCTTTTTTCTTTTTCTTAAATAAAAACTTCCTCTGGCTTAACCTCATGAGAAAATACTTGATTCTGGAACGTACTCCCAGAGGGTCCACTCCCCACACAGATGTCTCTCTTCCAGCTTTAAGTACTAAGCACTCACCCTCCCATGCTTCCTTATAAACAATTGGAGCTTTAATTCTTTTTCATATTCAGATGAGAATGTGCTTATTTATGTAAGAAAGGATATTTTAAGCAGCAATTGACTCTTTAACAAAAATAGTAGTAAAAACACAAATCTTTTACTTAATATAAGTCCTTCATGTCCTTGCCTTCTGCCGTTCTGGTAGAGTTCCTTTTCTTTTTCTTATTATTAGATGTAGTAATACAAATTGAGTGTCATAATAAAAATAATGACATCTTTTATCAGACCGAGGCTTCATCTTCTTTTTTATCATTTTGAGAGTGATAAAAGCCATCTTCCAATCCAGGCCACGTTCTAACACGTCATCTCCTTAGTGTTGCATCTACTTTAAGTTTTCAATTTCAATAATTCTTATTGCATCATCCTTATTGCAGTTTGAAAATGCCCACATTTCTTTGCACAGTCTTTCTTACCTTCTGTTTTACAATCTCCCTTCTCATAGGCTTGCAATTGGGCAAAACAATCAACTGGAATTTTTTTTTTTTTTTTTTTTTTTAGATTTTTACTTGAATGGTATTGTTGGAAGAGCAGTTTTGTTTTTTTAAAAATATTTTTAAAAATATTTGCTCTTTTTAATCTTCACTAAAAGGCCAAGAAATGATCTTTTTTTTTTTTTTTTTTTTTTTAAATTTCTAACCTCCTTTCCCCATGATATTTCCTGGAAGGATTTAGAAGCAAGAGGCAATAACACATACCCTAAAAACCCCTTATATCTGCTCTGGTTCTTTCATACGCTTCTGCCTCGGGAGACCCTGTGTCCTTGTGGACTCTGAGAATCAAACGTGAATTCTGTGGCCCAAATGCAGGTTTCTATACGATGTTTAAGGTTGTTTGGGGGAACCCTTAAAGAATCCCACCTTTAATTTTCCAGGATATGTAACGTAGTAGGTACTTGCTATTGTCTTATGACCTCTTATGTGAAATGTCAGATTCACTATCTGTCTTTGTGCCATTTCACATTATTAAATCTAATGATGAAGTGGGGGCATTACTGAGATATTATTGACTGAAGGAAAGTGCTTATGAATACAGCCTCTGTATATACTTTACTCACATTTAGCCTTGTTTCACGCTCACATGGCCAGCATGAGTTCTCTCTATTCACTAATGTTATCAATAACAACTTCACATGGCCTGCATCTGTTGAGTTTCCTGATCATATGGCCTCGTATCATAAACACATAGATGCCCCTGACATGGACTCTCATTTTTCAACTCTGATAGTTCTTGGAAGCACTGGATTGTTCCCAGACATTAGGCTTTGGAGTAGCTAAGGCTGCTTTTCATTTTGATTAGACATTTCACATTCACTTGTCTTCAAGATATACATATTGTAATCTGGGATTTGTGAGAATGGAGAAACAGTTCGGCTTGGTTCCACTCCATCATCTTCCCTCGTGCCTCCATTTGGTGCCTCGTTTATCCTGGAGGTGGAGCTGAGGGAGTCTGTCGAAAGTCTTACTCCTGGGGCATCTCATCCTTCAGCTTAAAGACTCAGTCATGAAAAGGGTAGATCCCTAAGTCAGATTGCTATTTTAATTACTGCCTATGTTTTGCATAAAAAAATATTTAAAACACCTTAGCTTTATGTAATCTTACGTTTTCATTTTGTGTTTGGATTTCCCAGTTGACCATGAATGAGTTCAGTGTGCATAGGATTATTGGACGAGGAGGATTCGGGGAAGTTTATGGGTGCAGGAAAGCAGACACTGGAAAAATGTAAGCTTTCAGTGTTCGTATGTTTTACTGGCACTATTAAGATTTTAATATTTGCATGAAAATAAAAGTCCTGTAGAGAAACGTGGAAGCCTATGACATTGCTTTTGAAATACTTTACCTCCAAAAGAAATTAAGCTGTAGGCCGGGCACGGTGGCTCACGCCTGTAATCCCAGCACTTTGGGAGGCCGAGGCGGGTAGATCACGAGGTCAGGAGATCGAGACCATCCTGGCTAGCATGGTGAAACCCCATCTCTACTAAAAATACAAAAAATTAGCCGGTGTGGTGGCGGGCCAGCTACTTGGGAGGCTGAAGTGGGAGAATGGCGTGAACCCAGGAGGCAGAGCTTGCAGTGAACCAAGATCACACCACTGCACTCCAGCCTGGGCAACAGAGTGAGATCTGTCTCAAAAAAACAAAACAAAACAAAACAAAAATTGACCATTGCTGAATTCACAATTCCTAGCTGCTAAATATATACATATGCCCCCATTATCAGTAATAATAAAATTTATTTATATCCATCTGCTTTATCATTTATTTCACTGGGATTTGTATCCATTTAATGATACAGATATCTTTAAGTATTGCTTGATTTCATTTTCACAATACATGCAAAATAAAAATACTTCTTGCATGGCGCTTGGGTGCTACTCTGCTTCTTTTAAACATGGCCTAAATATTCAGAAACTTGCCCCAGTATGATGTATATTGTTTAAATTAGTCTAGATATATTTGCAGCATAGATTTTTCAATAAATTTATGTTTCTAGGTATGCAATGAAATGCTTAGATAAGAAGAGGATCAAAATGAAGCAAGGAGAAACATTAGCCTTAAATGAAAGAATCATGTTGTCTCTTGTCAGCACAGGAGTAAGTATTCCATTTCCGGCATTTCTTTTAAAAATGTTTTGTTTGTTTTATAGCAGGATGATTTATTATTTTTCCTTCTAGCTGATTATAAGGCCAGCGAGTTCTTGGGTGGGTTAGAATCTGATAGTATCTCTTTATTTGATTTTGCAAGTTAGGAGAACACTAGCCAACTCCATTATGCACACGCATGGCTTCTCCCTTTAGTGTCTATTTATTTGTCCGTGACTTCCTTCTTTGCAGAATATGGTAGTGGAGATGACAGAAAATAATGATAACCAGAAAAATCACTGGAATATAGTCAAGCCTTGACTAAACGACTGGCAAGAAGGACTAACCTAGAGAGGAGAAGTAAGAGAGAAGTGGCTTCTGTCCTTCAGAAGCAAATCGAGAGAAGCGACTTGGATTAGTCACATCTGAATTGTCCTTTTGAGATTGTCCCTAGTCAGTGTTTCCCTGGAAGGTGACCGGTACCTGCCAGTACCTACCTGCTACTCTGATTATTAGCCTTTCCATTTCTAGCACCGTATTTCTACTTACTGGACACTTTCTTTGTATACTAAGCTATCATTTTTAGCTCAACATGTGTGACCCCACTTTTACCCTACATCTTCTTACTAAATAGCTGCCCATTCCAATTTCTTTTTCTGTTAATGGTATTACCCAAGATGAAAACCTCAGCATTTATGTATCTGTACAGATGCCAGTGTATGTGAAGACACATCCAAAAACCCATCCTCCCAGTACCCTGTTCCTGCGTGTGTGCACTGGCATGGCTGGGACCTGGTGTTCAGAGTGGGTTAGGGAGTCAGGACAGAGAGGGAGAGGCATGGGGTGAGCGTGGAGGGGCCAGACACTAACTGTGTACCCCACATGTGAATGAAACTGTAGATACTCCAGCCAGGAAGATTTATATTCAGTGAGAAATGTGAGGGACTTCCAGATCCCATGGCTGGATTCTAAATAAGGTCTTCACCAAAAGGATCTGCAAAAACCAAAGTTTAGTGGCTAATGAAAGAATCCCTTTATTTTATTTTATTTATTTATGTATTTATGTATGTATGTATGTGTTTATTTATTTATTTGAGATGGAGTCTTGCTCTGTTGCCCAGGCTGGAGTGCAGTGACGTGATCTCGGCTCACTGCAAGCTCCGCCTCCCAGGTTCAGGCCATTCTCCTGCCTCAGCCTCCCGAGTAGCTGGGACTGCAGGCACCCGCCACCACGCCTGGCTAATTTTTTTTGTATTTTTAATAGAGATGGGTTTTCTCCGTGTTAGCCAGAATGGTCTCAATCTCCTGACCTTGTGATTCTCCTGCCTCAACCTCCCAAAGTGCTGGGATTACAGGTGTGAGCCACCCCGCCCAGCCAAAAGAATTCCTTTCAATTGCTGAGCAAGTAACCTGAGACCCAGAGAGGTTAATTTCCTTCCCCAAATCTCTAGACTTTTTGGCCAGTGCTCCTATTATCATCACTTTATAGACTGTATGTTTTTCATTTATCATCTGTATTTATTGTATTATAGTTTATATTATTCTATTGTTAAAGTGTTTCTAGAAGAGGTATTTGCTCTTGAAGCAAAAGAATAGCGTAATGTCACTAAGTTGTAACAAATGGAAACCCCATAGCCATAAATAATTTCTAATTATGTGCCTTGACCTCCCACTGTATGGGCATTAAGCATTTCAAATAAGAGTTGCTTTGTGTGTATGACCAAGTTTTTAACTGATGAGAATGGAAACCAACATCCTGCATACTCTGTTGGAATCAGTGTGAATGGCATTGGCTTTTAATGTCTATTGGAAATGTCTGTATCCTAAATTTCAGACGTGGATGTGAGTACTGGATGAAGATTATAAGTGGTTATTAAAATATTAATTTTCAGTGAGTTATCTCAAAGCCTTGGATATTTATTCTCAAGAAGGCCTATAGAAAAAAAAGTTTTAATATTGGAAAAACATAAGTATAGTTTTCATGTAGTATTTTTATATTGATTTGACTCTCAGGTGAGAGGAGATGTGGTTAAGTAGCTGTGTAGTTTCTCACTGGTGTAACCCTAAGAAATTAGGGTTATTTGAGGCTATCACTTTGAACTAATTTAAAAGAATTATTTGTATTTTATTTAGATATCGAAACTATACGGGCCGGTCGCGGTGGCTCAAGCCTGTAATCCCAGCACTTTGGGAGGCCGAGACGGGCAGATCACGAGGTCAGGAGATCGAGACCATCCTGGCTAACACAGTGAAAGCCCGTCTCTAGTAAAAAAATACAAAAAACTAAACGGGGGAGGTGGCAAGCGCCTATAGTCCCAGCTACTCGGGAGGCTGAGGCAGGAGAATGGCGTAAACCCGGGAGCGGAGCTTGCAGTGAGCTGAGATCTGGCCACTGCACTCCAGCCTGGGCTACAGAGCGAGACTCCGTCTCAAAAACAAACAAACAAAAAAAAGATATCAAAACTATATGATACTTTTAAAATTTATAAGTGCATAATTTAACCAAAATAATTACAGTAAAGTTATTTGGAATTGTTTTTGCTAATCAAGGCATACTTTCTATAGTTTTTAGTAAAACATAGTTGAAAATACCCTCATTAGGCGAAGCTTTTGATCAGCCTATATCGGCAGGCTTTCCTGTGTTGTGGGTATGTAACTGAAATGCATTCATTCACCACAGTTTTCTTTTTACTGGAAGTTTTTTTTTTTTATTTTATTTTTTAAATCTCAACTTAAGTATCCCACCCATCTCCCCAAAAGACAGTAGGAAGTGCTGTTCGGTTTTCTTCTGTAATTCTCAGATGGCAAAAAAGGAAATATGCATGTTCGAGAACCAGCATAAGCGTGTCCACAGCTGTGAAGAGCAGTCAGCAATTCATCCAGTCAATCATTTAGGTTCCTCAGAAGTGTGACTCATTTATTCCTTGAACCACAGTTGAATGTCTAGGTTCAACCAGGCACTCTGCGGCAAGCTGGGGCTCCCAAAACCTGACTGTGGTCCCAGTTCTTAGTTCTTACAGAGCTGCACAGAAAGCAAAAAGATATTATTCAAATGATGATGGGAATGTATGGACAACTGGGACCTGTGGCAAGAGCCATGGAAGACAGGCACACGGTGCTCAGAAGGCCTTTTGCCGGGTGGAGATGGGGTCAGTGAATGCCCCTCTGAAGTTGGAGGAGCCAGTGCACGTCTGAGCCCAGGCACATGAGGTTGGGGGAATCAGATAAGGGGCCAGGTCTGCGGTGGTGGGAGGAGGCGTGCGAGAGAAAGCTGGAGAGAGACATGAAGGCCAGGCCAGACCATGAAGGGCATCGGAGGCCGATCTTGAGGAGCCTAAATGATATGACCGCAGTTAGAAACCGAGTGTTTTAACTAGAGAGAGACCATAATCAGCCTTGCAATTCACAAAGATTGCTCCGACTGCAGTGTGGAGGATTGTCTTTTCTTTTTTTTTGAGAAGGAGTCTCGCTCTGTGGCCCAGGCTAGAGTGCAGTGGCGCCATGCGCAATCTCGGCTCACTGCAAGCTCCGCCTCCCAGGGTCACACCATTCTCCTGCCTCAGCCTCCCAAGTAGCTGGGACTACAGGCGCCCACCACCATGCCCGGCTAATTTTTTTTGTATTTTTAGTAGAGACAGGGTGTTACCGTGTTAGCCAGGATGGTCTCGATCTCCTGACCTCGTGATCCACCCACCTCAGTCTCCCAAAGTGCTGGGATTACAGGCGTGAGCCACCGCGCCTGGCCAAGGATTTTCTTAACGACTTCATGGTCCTGTTTTATCACAGTTTTTTTTATGGCGAGTTCCTGCAAAATGTAAGCTGTTTTGTTCACTATTGGTAGGAAATCAAAGAAGACAGCTCCTTGCTCAAGAGTTTTACTTAATGGTCTACTTCTAAAAATCCACTTTTATTCTGACTTGTAATCAAGGCAGGCCCTCTTATCCATAATTATCCTTGGAACTATATCCCACCATTCATTAAATTGCCACTTATTTTTTCATATTGGTCAGTATTCGATTGTGTCCTGGACTCCACATGAAACTCATTATAGTGTCTGTTCAGCACCCCGAGAGGTGAGGGTTGCAGTCACTGATTTCTGTAGAGATAACCAAATCTGATTCCTTCACCCGGATGTTTATTTTACATTGAGTCAAAGATAAATATAGTAGGACATTAGTTAAAGCATGTACTTGGTAATTAAAACAGCATTTATTTGGTAATGACTAGACAGTAAGAGAAATAGCTGAGCTCCATTCTGACTTGTGCAGAGGTGACCGGATGTTTTAAAGGTACAGTGGCTGGTGGAGTGCAATGGGGAGTGGAGCAGAGTCAAGGAAGTGAAGAATTTTACAATGCAGGAAGGGGTGTGGTCCATATGGGACCCATGTTGGTTTGCTAACTGGGACTTATCCAGGTTAGACTCCTACCCTCCCATGGAGGCTGGGAGACAGGGGCTCTCTCTTTGAGTGTTGGCTGGAACAAATAAAAATTCTTTGGGAAGCCTTGATTTCTCTGAGGCAGGCATTTTAAGGGGGGGCTGAACCTCCTAGGGATGTGGTCTTGAGCTGTTAGCTTTAACAATGCAACTTCTGTTTACAGATTCTATTGAAATTTGAACATTTTCTTTGGAATTTAATAATTTTGTGTGTGTGTGTTTAAGAAAGAGGATATAGATAATCTAAGCCATTTTAAAAACTGAATCAGTTTAGTGACAAGTATACACTATATATAAAGAATCTAAGTGGATTTCATAGATAAAATAGATATAAATAGAGCTAATAGATCTAACATAGCACTGATGAATTTTCATAAGGAAATACACGCATCTCTGGCACCCAGATCAAGAGACGGAGAGTTACCAGTATTCTAGAAATCTCTTTGTGCCTCTCTCAGTCACTAACCCCACGCCCAACTTAACACTATCCAGATTTCTAACAGCATAATTTAGCTTTGCAAATTGTGTTTGAACTTTATAAATGTGCTCTTTTGTGTCTGGCTTCTCTCACTCCATGTTGCTTATGAGATTCATCTGTGGTGTTGCCCATGGCAGTAACTCCCTCCTGTAGCTGTGTAGAGAGGTCAGAAAGCCAGGTGTGGCTCAGGCCAAGTCTAGCTTGTTGGCCTTATTTTGTACAGCCCATGACCTAAGAATGGTTTTTACATTTTTAAAAGATTGTAAAGAAAATAAGCAAAGAATAATAGATGACAGGGATTGTATGCAGCCTGCAAGGCCTAAAATACTTACTTTTTAGCCCTTTGCAGAAAACATTTGCTGATCCGTGCTCTATATAGCATTCTAGTGTATAAATATACCATACTATCCATTCTACTGTTGGTAGACATTGGGGTTATTTCCTGACTTGTGCTATTTTGAATGATGCTGTTTTGAATATTCTTGTGCAGGTATCTTGGCGCACATAAGTACAGACTGCTATTAGATGTCTACCTGGGAGTGAAATCACTGAGTCAGAAAGTTTGCGAGTGACACTCAACCTTGGTAGATACCACCAAATGGGTTGCTAAAGTGGCTGCACCATTCATTGTACACTTCCAGCAGCCATATATGAAAGTTCCATTTACTCTATAGCTTCCCAACACTCAATATCATCAGTGTTTTTCTTTTTAGCTGTTCTTGTGGGTTTAGTGACAGCATGTTGTAGTTTTAATTTGCGTTACCTTGGAGACATCGAGGTTGAGCATCTGTTCATTAGTTTGGGGGCTATGTGGTATCCTCTTATGTGAAATGCCTATTTTTTGGCCATTTTTCTGGGGGTTGACTGACTTTTTTAAGTTGATTTTTTAAAGTTCTTTATATATTCTAGATATGAGTCCTTTGTGTATTTATGGGTTTCATATATCTTCTCCCATCCTGTGACTTGTCTTTTTACTGTCTTAATGGTATCCTCTGATGAATAGAAGTTCTTAATTCTATTTTAGTCTAATTAACATTTTTATTGTTACTGCCTTTTGTGGCCTAAGAAATCTTTACTTACCCTAAGATCATGAAGATATTCTCATTTGTTTTCTTCTGGAAGCTTTATTGTTTTATCTTTTACACTTAGATCTACATCAGCTGGAAATGACTTTAGTGTATGGTGTGAGGCAGGGGTCAAGGATCATATTTTATTGTACAGATATTCAGTTGCTTCAGCATCACTGATTGAATAGGCCATCCTTTCCCCAGGCCCTGTTGTGTCACCTTAATAACAATGAAATGGAAAAAGTAATCCATAATAGACCCACACATAAATGGTCACTTGATTTGTCTGTCCTTTGGCTAATACCACACTGTCTGAATTACTGTTGCTTTCTAATAAGTCTTGATATCTGGTCCTGTACGTTTTCCGGCTTTGTTTATATTCAAGAATATTGGAATTTTTCTTGTCTGTTTACATTTACATATATTTTAGAATCCACCTTGTCAATTTTCATTTCAATTAAGATTACATGGCATCTATAGATTAATATGGAAACACTAAAATCTTTACAATTGAGTTATTCAATCCTTGGTCATGATAATAGTTTTCCACTTTCAAAAGCTAATTTAATTCCATTTTTATTTTCAGTGTTTCAAAACAACACCACAAATAACATTCCTCCCTCCCCGACCTGTGCTATGATTCCATCAACTTCAGAAGCAGAGACTGAAATGGATATTTGAATAGCCAGAGCCAAAATGTTGACTAGCAAAAAGCCTGGCAAGATAGTGATAAGTTTCTGTATCTAGCATTTTGAAGAGGATGTAATTAGGATAGAGACGTGATTGAATCCAAGCGAGAAAGGACCTTCAAGGTCATCTGCTCCAATTATTAATGTTGTGTCTCTATGCATTTTATTATGTAACCAGCTCCATTTTACTGTGACTTTAAAAATTACCATGTAGGTGTCGGTGCTCAGTGCATGGGGTAGCAGCTTGGATAAAAACCCATGGCATGTATTGTATATTACAAAATGGTGAGAAGAGAGGCTTTTGAAGGTTCTCGCCACAAATAAATGATAAATATGTGAAGTGATGGATACACTAATGACCCTGATTCAATCGTTATACAATATAGATGTATGTCAAAACATCAAACTGTACACCATAAATATGTACAATTGCAACGTGTCAATTAAAAAATAAAGAAATTTTAAAAATATGTAGCATGGTGTTGGCGCTTTCTAGGCAGCTTTTCTCTTCTTATAAACTTTTATGTTTTCACTCTAGGACTGTCCTTTCATTGTATGTATGACCTATGCCTTCCATACCCCAGATAAACTCTGTTTCATCCTGGATCTGATGAACGGTAAGCAAAACTTGGAAAGTCTGACTGCCTTGAAAGACTTTGCCATGATGTTAAATCTTAGCATGCATTAATCTAGGCAGACTAGCAATGTGGGTCTTTCAGGTAATTAGGTTCCCCCTGAAGTTTGAGGAAACGTTTTACCCTTTAATCTTCACTGAAAATTCATTTTTAAATGTTGACTGCAATGTCCTTCTTGGCCTCCCAGTCTCTTCCCAAGAAGTTGAATATTCTAGAAAAGATTCTCATAAAATACTTACAGTGAAACTTGATTTTCTGGAATGCAGCTGGCCTAGATCTTTAATTAGCTTATTTCCTGGCCCTCAACTTTTAGGAATGAAATACCTCATAAGAATATAGGCCAAAGATAGAAATGTATTTAAAAACCAACTTTGAAGGACTGACTTTGGGCCAAGTACAGATTTTAGCCCAATCTTCTGCACCTTCTAAATCTGCACTACTGTACATTGATCTTTTAAACTGTGGATGATGATTTTGAAAATGCTGGAAAACGTTTGGCTAGAAAAGGAGCTTTCTGATACTAGAAAGTGTCATGGTATATATCTAAAGTATTTTTAGTAACAACTGAAATAAAGCATACAATTCACAACTCACATGCCTAGTTTTTTTTATTTTAAGTTCACTTGAAGTTTTATTATGTTCCAAGTGTTTGATTTAAAACCAGATCTACCCCAAAGCATGAAGGAATTTCACAGCATAATAACGAGCAAAAGAAGCCAAACCCAGCAGCATCTACCCTAGGTGACCCTGCTTATGTGATTGCCAAAACAGGCAAAACTAATGGATGGGGAGAGAGGGCTGGAGTGACCTTTGTGTGAGTGGGACTAGGGGGTAAGGTCTTGACTGAAAGGGCATAGTGGTAGGGGAGCTTTTGGGATGCTGGGCATCTTTTCCATCTTGATGTGGTAGTGGTTTTACGGGAATATGTGTATGGAGAGAGAAATATGCTTGTGAAAGCAAGGGTAATAAAGTTGGACACACGCACTCATTTTTATAAATCAATAGAGGCTTCTCCCTTGTGTTATATAAAATCATTCCCTTACCCTGTTGATGGCATTCTCTGTCTCTGTAATTTCAGGCCATCTGATTATTTCCTTTCTCTAGCATTTTGTTATGAAAAATTTCAAGCAGATAGCAACGTTGAAAGAATTTTCCTGGGGATACCCACCACCTGGATTTTTTATCAGTTAAAATTTTACTGTATTTGCTTTGTCAAATATCTGTCTATATGATCCATTTTTGTTGTTGTTGTTGTTGTTGTTGTTTTGAGACGGAGTCTCTGTCACCCAGTCTGGAGTGCAGTGGTGCGATCTCAGCTCACTGCAATCTCTGCCTTTCAGGTTCAAGTGATTCTCCTGCCTCAGCCTCCCGAGTAGCAGGGATTACAGGTGTGTGCCACCACGCCTGGCTAATTTTTGTATTTTTAGTAGAGACGATTTCACCATGTTGACCAGGCTGGTCTCGAACTCCTGACCTCAAGTGATCCACCCACCTCAGCCTCCCAAAGTGCTGGGATTACAGACATGAGCCACTGTGCCCAGCCTAGTTTTTTTTTTTTTTTTGTCTATCCATAGAGCCATTTGCTAAGCTGTGTCTGTTGGATCACTCCATGGGTTGATTCATTTACTAGGATTTAAGTAATCAAAGCAGGTTAGCTGGTCCCATCTTGTGATGGCGGAACTAGGAGCTGAGCTGCCAGCCTGAAAATGGTGGCTTGGTTTTGTTGTCTTGTCCCTCCTGTCATTGCATTTAAATCTTCTCAATGTTTAAGTTTTCTCTATAATGTTTAAGTTGTTGCTAAACTACAGGAATGAAAGATAGATATATAGACAAAGCAGAAGCATAGTTTCCCTTTTTCTACGGAGTCCTGATTATTTAGGATGAGAATGATTTTTGTGTCCTTTAAATTAATATGCTTTGTATTAAATTCTGAATCTGATTCCAGGGGGCGATTTGCACTATCACCTTTCACAACACGGTGTGTTCTCTGAGAAGGAGATGCGGTTTTATGCCACTGAAATCATTCTGGGTCTGGAACACATGCACAATCGGTTTGTTGTCTACAGAGATTTGAAGGTGAGGACGGTTGACGGACTCATTCTGCATAGTAGGCATTGTGTGAAAGGTCCTCTAGAAGTCCCCTTCTATTTCACAGAGTCCTGTCATTTTCCTCATAGCCCTTGTCTCAGCCCTGATAAAGTCATTAGCTATATAACATTTTATCTCCTCTAGACCAGACTCTGCAGGGACGGAGCACATGTCTGTGTCTGTCATTATTATAACGCTGGTGCCTACTACAGTGCCTGCTGCAGCACATATACTAAGCCAAACATTTTCGTTGATCAGTTAATGAAAAGCAGTTTAGGCCAGGCATGGTGGCTCATGCCTATAATCCCAGCACTTTGGGAGACCGAGGAGGGTGGATCATAAGGTCAGGAGATCGAGACCATCCTGGCTAACACGGTGAAACCCCGTCTCTGCTCAGAATACAAAAAATTAACCGGGTGTGGTGGCAGGCACCTGTAGTCCCAGCTACTTGGGAGGCTGAGGCAGGAGAATTGCATGAACCTGGGAGGTGGAGCTTGCAATGAGCCGAGATTGTGTCACTGCACTCCAGCCTGGGCGACAGAGGGAGACTCCATCTCAAAAAAAAAAAAAGAAAAGCAGTTTAGGAGCCCTTTTGGTGTCACACATTTCATAATTATAATTCAGTTAATGTTCACTAAGCAACTGATTTGGTTGTGGCTCTGTAAAGGTGGACATGTACAATGATGAATAAGCAAAGAACATATATTTTATGGGGCTTCTTAGAAGCTGGTGAGCTAAGACATAGAATGGCTGAGTCATAACTCCTCCGAGGCAAGGTCTATCAGTGAATAGTGGATTGCCGACCAACCTGCGGAATTTCTCCCAAAGGCCACCCTCAGAGCTTTACGTTGTTTTGAGATTGTCTTAAAAATCACTGATAGAGTTTTAGATCCTTGAACTGTGTAACCTCCAACTGCTGTGCCCAGGTTTCTGTTCTTGTCCTCTGTAAGAGCTCACTCGCCTTGAAAGCAATGATATAGGAGTATTCTGAGTTTTTCCATTCCAGAACGTGGTGCTTGGTCCTGGGTGTTACACGTGGGAGGGAGATAGAAGCTGGCTCAGGATGTCCATGGTGACACTCACCTAGTTGTATGGCCAACAGCCTGCAGGCAGGCATGGAGAGAAAGGAACCTTGACAAATTAATGATTGCGCAAACATAGAAATGCGTAAATAGTAATAAGAAAAATGATGGGACCGACAATTTCCCAATAGGCAAGAAGATTCCGGGAGAATGTGTTTGCCTCTCATTTCAGATGCCTTCTTGAATGAACCCACAGTGGCCAACTGAAATGTACAGATTATGTTCCTTCCTCTAGGGAGCTGAGATGCCGTGATTGGCTTTTGAAGATTACTTTCTAAGATATTATAAAAATTGTATTTTATTTCCAAGAATGTTATTTTTTTTTTTACAAAATACTTTGTGAATTTTAAACCTTTCTGTAAGGTTACAGAATTATTATTACTCCCTTAGTTTTCCTATAAGCATAAAGAAGAAAAATGCATTTTTATTGAATTAGAAATAGCTAGACAATAGTTGGCCCTTGACATTTTATTTCCTTATGCGAGCTTTGCAGAAGAACAAAACACATGCTGAAGGCCCATGAAGCGCTATTGTAATACATTCTAATTTAAATCAATAACTGGTTTCTAATCATCTTTATGCTTTATTTTTATTTTCTAAGCTATTTGGAAGGCAGTGGTATTATTTAATTTCTATTCAAACTTAATTCTAGTCACTCATGATTATTCATGCTTCAGTTTTATAATAGCATGCCATTTATTTTTATTTCAAGCAAAATAGTAGTTGATCGCCAGCAGAAAAATATTAAGATGCCTATAATTCAATGTATATCAGAGAGACTAGATTTGTTGTTCATGATTATGATGACTAAATCTAATCTTCATGGATACATTTTATCAGAGTTGTGGTCACAATTATATTTGGTCATTTGGTAGGGCCCTACATTAATGATGTACTAATAAGCAGAAATGACATTTATTGGGATTAGTGTGGCACTATGGAATATTTTGATTGCTTAGGTCAGTGTTGATACATTCTTGGAAGCTTCCTCTCTGTCCTGTGCTTCATGGCTTTACTCTTAGAAATCCTTGTGGTTCTCAGAAGCCCGGAAGCTGGTGGACTCACCTCCCGCCCTTGAGAGGCACGCTGTCCTTTCTGCGCAGCGGTCCTTGGTACGGGGAAAAGGAAATGCTTTTAACGCTGATGAACTGTGGTCCCGACATTCCTGTGTTACCTGCCCCATGTTTCATTTTCTAATGAGTAGAATCCTCCGCCTCTATCGTTACCACTTTTCTGCCGAAGTTAAAATGAAAAATATTATTCTCAGTATCATGCCCTACTTCGATGTGATGGGATCAAGCTGTAATTTGTGTTTAGGAACAAGCTATGATAAAATAGTAAGATATCAAGCATCTGCACTCAAAGTTCTCAAAGCCTCCATGGCATTTGGGGCACTCTTAAAGATCATTCTCTTTCTGTTTAGCCAGCAAATATCCTCTTGGATGAACACGGACACGCAAGGATCTCCGATCTTGGTCTTGCCTGCGATTTTTCCAAAAAGAAGCCTCATGCGAGCGTGTAAGTAATGCGTCAACTTCGGTTCACCATCGTTTCTCTCATGCCCCTTCAAAGGCGTGGCCATTTGTCACCGCCAGTGGTGATTTTCAGTATGTCGGGAAGATCCAACATCACAGGTTGTGGGAAAGGAGATAAGAACGGGGAGCCTTCCTCCCTGTCTGCGGAGAGCAGGAATTAACCCACAGTGCAGTTGAACCTGCTCAGGCACCAGGGTGGCCTCTAAGAAACAATCAGGACCTCAGCAAGAAACCAGAATCCATGCTGCCCGTGTGACCCTAAAAGTCAGTCAGTTACTTAGTCTGTTAGTAATCGTAGTAATAAACCCCTCAAAGCTGTCCTAAGGATAAGTGAAAGAGACGGTGCCTAGAAAGGCACCGAGGCAGCTGCATGCATGTGGTCAAGGGAGGTCCTCGGAGCCAAGTTTCTGTCTTCATCTACTTTTCCTTCTTTTTCAAAAAGGCTTTTCTTCCTTTTTTTCCCTGAAGAGAAATTAGAAATATTTCCCTCTCTCTTTTTTAATTAAAGAAACAAATCATCTGCTTGCAGTTTAGGCTTTCACTGCAGGTCATATTGTTAGACTTGGGTCTTGCACCAGGTCCTCTACGTGATCACCCGGAGGGAACTCTTGAGGCCACAGCCCTCAGCCAGCACCTGACACCTCCGGGACACCGGACTGCTTCTGGGTGTGGCCCTGCTTGATCAGTGCAAACTGGCCCTGAACCGAGGACTTCTCTCTGTACTCAGAGTTGTTAAAAAGACAGCAGGACTAGGACAGTTTCAGCTCTGCAGAAACACCATGGAACATGCACTGGTTTTCATTTCTGTTTCTTTGGTAGGCGATAATCTGGGTGGAAAGTATGAACACATGTACAGTTTGTGGAAAAGCAGACAACTTTTGCTTTATTTTGTCTTTTTAAATGTCTCCTCCTTAGCACTGAATCTTTTAAAATTACATCTTAAGCTAACATTCATCTCTGTGTTGAATGGTCTTGAAAAAAACTCCCAGTGGTCTCATTTCATGCATCTGTGCAGAAAATAAACCACAGATCCTTCTCTTTGTGTAACCAGAAGTGGTTCTGAACTGCAATACTTTATGAAGGACTGCATTAAATCAGAATTGCCTTTTAAAGCTCTGATCAAATGTTAATAGTGAATAGCACTGTTTCTGTAAACATATTTCCCTTTTTCCACGGAATCTGGGATATGGTGATAAAAGCATTAGCATTTTGCTAGCACTTTACAATTATTAGACCAGAACCTGTGGTCGTATAAGCTTCTCTCAGGGAGTTCATCAGATTCTTTTAAGAGAGTCATTTGAATTTTTAATGCCACAGCTATTTGGTATGCTAATTTTTTTGGTTAGTATAGTCATAACTAAATATGAATCCAAGGGTTCATAAGAAATACTCTTCCAGAGGAATTAACTTTCAGATATGGGGTTATTTCCAGCAGGACCTAGTGCACTTTTTGCTATAATTCACATATCAGCTGTGAATGGCGGGCTGGTCTTTTGCCTGCTCTGGAAAGCACAATATTTGAAAAGCATCTGTAAAGAGGTAGGACTGAGAAGGTGGGTTTCCATGTTTAAATAATGATCAGGAGGCCACTACTTTAAAAAGGTAAACATACAATACAATTTTATCTTTTTTATTTTTTTGAGACAGGGTCTTGTTCTGTTTCCAAGACCAGAGTACAGGGGCGTGATCATGGCTCACTGCAGCCTCCCTCTCCCAGGCTCAAGTGATCCTCCCACCTCAGCCTCCCAGGTAGCTGGGACCACAGTCATGTGCCCCTACATTCAGCTAATGTAAAAAAATATATTTTTATAAAGACAGGGTCTCCCTGTATTACCCAATCTGGTCTCCAACTCCCGGACTCAAGCAACCCTCCCACTTTGGCCTCCCAAAGTGCTGGGATTACAGGTGTGAGCCACCATGCCCTGTCAAAATCCTGTACTTTTAAGTAAAGGAGGCATTTTGTGGCTAGGAAAAAAGACTCTGGAGCCAACAGATCTGGGTTTGGGTTCCTCTTCCTGGTTGTGTAAGCCTCATTTTTCCCTTCTGTGAGGAAGAGAGGACAATGATACTTATCTCCTGTGATAGTTGTGAGGGTTAAGTCAATGAAATAATTCAGCGAGTCTTTAACATTTGCTGCGTGCCAGCTGCTGGCGACACCACTCTAAGACAGAGCTGACCCCTGACCTCCTGGAAGGAGCAGCCCTGAGAACTGTCCCCGAAGTGACCAGCATATGGAGTGGTGGCGGTACCAGCAGCATTCACTTTGTCTGAATATCCAGCTGTCCCAGTCATGCATGTGTCATCCTCGTGGAAACCCCATAAATTATAGGTGTCACTCTCCAATTTTTGTGGTATGGAACTTGAGGTTCAGAGAAATTAAGTAACTTAAACCAGGTCACATGGCTGGTATGCCATGGGGCTGGAATTATAATCCAGTTCTGTCTGATTCCAAAGCCTGTACACTGTGTGGATGAACTCCCTGAGGCTTTGGCATGATCTATTTAGTACAAGACTGAAGATTTTAAGCCACAATTTCACCCTGAACTTGGTTTATCAGATCTTTTCAAAGCTGTAGATGTGATTCTTAGACTTCATCTCGCGGCCGGCCCATCTCCAAAGTAGTATTGTAGTTGAGGTTTGTGATTTGAGCTTAGACTTAGTCCACTTAACGAAAGAATCGCAAATTATTGTAAACTAGAAGTTAACTGTGAAGTAGCCATGAAAAATCACAGGAGAACTTCTGGAGCTGAGCAGATTGTCAGTGACTAATTTGAGTCCTAGCTTATTTTATCTAAGAACACAAAGCTGTGTCTCATGTCACAGTGTCTTAAAACGTCCAAGTGTTCGTTCAGTATTAATAGTAGTACAGATCTTTAGTGGAATGCGTCAGGAAGCATTAGCAGCTGGCCCATAGGCAGAATCAGAAAACCTCAGCGGCAGGCAGTCCAAGGCTGAGTTTTCGTTGCATCTGGTATAAGCATGGGGGACTGGTCTGCATTCATTTCTTATTTATCCCGTAGATATCTATTGTAGATATCTTTCCATTCCAGAACTGTGACTTGATCCTGATAAGGTACAGATTACACGGTCACCAGAAAGGACTTTCCAGGCAACCCTGAAATTAAACCTTCCCGGAAAGTGGCTTGGATGCCCCTCATAGAAATCTCCAGTGCTCTCACGGCGTGGCCTGATGGCCTTACACCGTCAGACTTTAGGTTCGGGCTGATTGAGCTTTCCAGAATGCTGGATTTGCCCTGATGGACCAACGCCTGTCTTCACTATTTGATAAAACTCTGAAATACACCTCTTAGACAGAGAGTACTGGACCCAGTGATGACCCAGCCTCATTAGTGATCCAGGATCATTTATTCTGAGTAGATTCTCACTGTTGCTGAGCATAAGCAAGTTAAAAATTCTTTTTTTTTTTTTTTGAGATGGAGTTTCACCCTCGTCACCCAGGCTAGAGTGCAATGGCACGATCTCGGCTCACCACAACCTCTGCCTCCCAAGTTCAAGTGATT